AACGCGACCCACTGAGAAGATCCCGCGAGAAACTCAATGGGCTGTGTCTATGGGTTAGTCGCATACCCGCCAAAAAGTCATGTATTTATACGTACGGTACCACAATTCATTTTAATTCTATTCTTTTCGAAATTTTCACGACCATTGCTTACCTAATTTTTTGCCAAACTTTGTTATTTTGGTTTATTTTGAAGTATTTTCAAATTAGCTGTTAAGCAGGTACGGAGTATAATAACGAAAATGGAATAAAAAAAATATTTTCTATAAATCGAAAGCTGCTAGTATGTTTTGCAAAAATAAGAAATTGATTCAAATTTCTTTACGGGTTTTAGTCGATTTTATCAAGCAACTAATCATCGTTAGTATTACTTAGTTTGGTTTTATCATAAAGTGACAAGGCAAACAACACTATTAAAAAATCATCAAACACTTCACAGACTCTTTGAATTTTCACAGATCAACATGGACGACGCGACGTCTGTCAACAGTGTCAACTAAAGAAAAACAAAAAGCTTCATATTTCCGTGGAATTTAGAATATATTGGCAAAATGTCTTCAACAGAGCCTTCGCAAAATAAAACATGGGAGCTATCCCTTTACGAGTTACACCGTACTCCACAAGAAGTGATCACAGACGCGACGGAAATAGCGGTCTCCCCACGAAGTCTTCACAGCGAGCTGATGTGCCCAATCTGTTTGGATATGCTCAAAAAGACAATGACTACAAAAGAATGCCTCCATAGATTCTGCAACGACTGTATTATAACCGCTTTGAGATCGGGCAATAAAGAGTGTCCGACTTGTAGAAAGAAATTAGTGTCCAAACGTTCTCTTCGACCGGACCCCAACTTCGACCTGCTCATATCCAAGATATATCCCAGTAGGGACGAATACGAGGCTCACCAAGAACTGGTTCTGGCTAAACTAAGTATGTCCCATTCACAAGCTTCTCTCGTCAATTCTATAACCGAAGGCATAAAGTTACAGTCACAAAACAGGCCTCAAAGATCAAGAAAGAACCACGACGAGAGTAGCAATGCGTCTAATTCCAATGGTAATGTAGAAACAGTTCAAAATGGTAGTAATTCTGCCACTCCCAAAGATGGGACTTCTTCAAGCGGAAACCCTGCACAATCCGGTCAGTCAACATCGAATCCTGCTTCAGTGAGAAGTACACCATCTCCAGTCCCGTCGAATGTTTCATCAGTATCCAAAAACACAAGTACAACTAAAAGAGCCAAATCGGTATTGACTTCAGAGAGAAGTGAAGAGAGTGAATCTAGTGATGGAAGGTAAGCTACCATTACCAGTACTTTCCGTTATAGTAAATGACTTAATAATCTACTTGCATGGTAGTAGAAAGCAATAATAGTGTTGTTTGACTTGAGAATAATCAGTAGATCCTGAGTCTCTCTTCCCATCTATTTCAACTTCTAATAAAGTTTTTATCCACGACATTGCACAAATTAATTATTTTTTTATATGCAAGGTTAAACTTCTGTAAACTTCTGGTTATGGACTATTTCTTAAATTTATTCTCTTTTAAACTAGTACTGGCACAGTGGTTATTTAGCCAAGATGTAGTTCTGTGGTAGATTTTTTTTATTTATTTCTGATCTTTTTGAAACTATGTATTTGTAACTTTTTATTTATAAATTTTTGTATAAAATTACATAGAGATCAATCAATTAATAATAAAATAATTGAACTTTGATTAGTCTATCAGGTAGAATTTTGTATCAGAAAAATATCAGATGGTAAAGTCCATGATAAAATCACTACAACAGTTCTGACAAGTACATGTATGACCCACCTCAAGGCTTCTCATGTTGCAGAACAGAAGGAGAGAACTCAATGGATACGGAAGGAGAAGGGGAGCCCCTAAACCCCAATGAGATAGAGCTAGTCTTCAAACCCCACCCTACAGAGATGACTGGGGACAATCAACTTATGAGAGCTCTTTGTGACAATTCTGTGAGATATCTAAAGACAACACCCAATGCTTCTGGTGAGCATACGTTTTGCTTTTGTATTGTTTGTTTAGATTTTCTATGAAGAACCACATGATTGATATTCTTGGACTTCAACAGAGCCAAGCCCAAGTTATTATTTTATATTATCGAAACACATATTTTTTTTTAGTTTGACTTAAAAAAAAAAAGTTTTGTTGTACTGGATGAAGTATGAGGGAGCACAGGTCCACGACCAACTGGTGTCAAGTGATCACTGGAGTCTTTAGACATCAACCTTGTTTATGTCCCCACCTACCTAGAAACATGAAAATAGTCTAAAATAATAATTCAGAAAAACGAATAGCAAATCGATACAAGTACCTAATATAGAAGCTCTTTGTTAAGATAACCATGAAAGTAACTTTCTATTACTTATTGCATAAGATCTATAATTGAAGTAAATAAGCAACCAACTAAAAAAAGCAATATCTTCAGGGATTCCTATTGGACAATGTAAAACAATATAACTAGAGCTGAAATATTACTAGGGCTTGCTTTACTGACAGCCCTAATACATAAATTATTGCTAGAAATTAGAGCCAATTTTTATTGTGGTTTCATATCCATGATTTTATTAATTTAAACAACACTTAAAATTCTTATGTACTATAGATGTTAATTTGCTATAATAAATTACTTTAAAATAAAACATTATCCCATAAAAAATTATGCATTTGATTTTAGTCGATCATCTAAGCAAGTACCTAGCGATGCGTCTCACTTTGGATCTCGATGCAGAGCTACCAGAGGCACTCCGGCTTCTGAACTTTTGTATTTACGTAGCACCTTCGCCTGGACAGTTTGTGCTGTTGGCTGGCTCACAGACCCTTCGTCAGATTATCGATAAGTTCTGGAAGGTATACATTTTCATTTTATTGTTCTTTTGTCATCTCAATATACCTGTAACTGTGATCTTGATAAACATCAGCACCCTATACTAAAATATGTAGAAAGTTAAACTTTACAATACAGTTCAGACCTCAACCTCATATCAAAAAGTGACCATCGCCATTTCATTTTCTTGTCACTTAAACATTTTTCATTCTACATTATCAAGTTCTATGGGCTCTGGTGCATGGTATCAGCAGTTATAAATATTTTATGAACAGATATGAGTAGAAGGGGTATTTTGATAATATCCTGAAAAGCACCCACGCTTTTTTTTACAATAAAATCATTTATTCTTACACTATTTTTAATTCAAATTTATTAAAAATTATTTTCTATTTTTTAGTTGGATTTTCTATAAAAGCGTATTTTTTTTTTTAACTATTATTTTTAAATGTTGCATTGGTGCATAATGTAAACAAATGCATAGTTAACATAGTATTTGCTTATTCATATTACGAGTAGGTATATCCAAGTTGAAAAAGTCACTGTGGTTACCAAGGAGGAAGCATTATATTTATGATTATATTACTAGTTCAATGAATCTTTTTCTATTTTCAGGTCAACAAACCTTTGGAGATGTTCTACTCCTGGAAGAAAACCTAGAAGTAGGATACATTTTAGTTATGTGCCTCTTTACATAACTAAAATGGTGATATGCAGTGAATCCAATCTCATAGTGAAATCGAAATATATATAAATAAAAAGAATATTTTTTAAATTGAGACATGGACTCTTATGATAATGTGATAAGAAATGTGACTATAATAAAAAAAAAACAAATCACAATACCTATAACATTTGTAAATTTAAAACAAATCAGTACTCTTTTCAACCTAATTATACTAAGGAATATTCTTGAAATTGAAGTAGATTGATGCATTATTGGTGTTTTAAATAGTTAAATAGTAACATTTGTCATTTTGAATGAACTAATATCAGTAACGGGACGTGACCATATTGTATAATAGTACACTTTACTCATAAATGGTGTAGTGTTTTGTACAACTTTGTGCAATTATTAAAAGTTTAATTCTCATTTAACAGCTTTTTATTTGTCACTAAAATAAAACGTATATTCGTATGTATGTATCCATAAAATTGCAACGGATTCCTGCTATGGTACTGTAACACTGGGTTGGTACAGTTTTTTTTTCCTACCTTTTTTTAGTTAGGGGTAATCTCGAAGGGTTATAGTAGATTCACAGAACGAGTAGGTGAGCTAACGGAGCTCAAACCTGACGACGTTGCTAACACTAACCCTAGCTAGAGCCGTGCTTCGCAGAATCTACCACCGGATCGGAAACGCGACCCACTGAGAAGATACGGCGAGAAACTCAGTGGGCTGTGTCTGCGGGTTAATTTGCTCGCCGAGCCCTTTGTCGTAAGCGACGGGTTCTACGTGAACAATGACCGGTGCTTGAGATACTTAAAAGCACCGTTAGTGGATCCGAAATGGCGTGTTTAGGGCGACGTCGACTGCTTACCATTCGATCCGTAGGATCGGGAATGTGACCATGTACAGCTAGTCTACTTAAGGAGGGCTAAATACGTGAGCAAAATTACCTGAAACTTGACACCTTCCCACCATAACATAACAGCTGTACTACCCTTCAAACCGAAACTTTATTTTGATTTTTATAACTTAACTAGCTGACCCGGCAGACTTCGTAGTGCTACAATCGATAAATAAAATACCTAAGCTTTTGTGTAAAAGAAACTTAAAACAAACAAAAGGACTCCGTCCGACGGGGCACACGTCAAAGGAAAAACAAAATTGTTATTTTTATTTAATTCTGAGCATTTTCATATTTATCTACCTTTTAAACCTTCTCTGGACTAACACAAAATAATTCAAGACCAAAATTAGCCAAATTGGTCCAGCCGTTCACGAGTTTTAGCGAGACCAATGAACAGCAATTCATTTTTATAATAGATAGGTATTTATGCCTTCATTGTGAAGTCATTAGCCACCATTCTTGAACTCTCTAGATTTAAACACCGAAATAGTCTTATCGATACGAATACAGCGGACGTCTTTTCTGACTTTTAGATTGATGTTACGTGTAAATTGTTAAATGAATAAACAAATATCAGATTTATTAAATATTTTATTTCTCACTAAAGCGTCAATTTACTTACAACAAAGAAAAGCGTGTAATTTAAATTACAAACAATTCTCAACAAAAATATAGGACGGATTGCAGGAATATAAATTGTGACTTCTAATATAATAATATCACCTACAAATTTTGTGTTAGATTTCTTCTGCAATATTTTTCGGACAATTGACGAATTCATCCAATAAAAAATGAAAAAAAATATGGATAGTGTAAACCGTAAAAATTGTTGTATCTATTTTGTTGTGTAAAAAATCTATCATAAACAGTTACATATTACAATAACAGGTACATAGGCTAAAGCATTAGGCTAAATATTAAATATGAAATATTTTGTATCAAGTAGAAAATGTGACTATTCTACTATAATGGCCTTTTTGGAAATGTGTAACTCTGCACATAGCATGTATATCAGATATGAAATTAATACATTAGAATCTTAGATACCTATGTATTTTTATAAAAATAATATAAGTACCTACTCAACATTTTTTTTATAATTTATATACAGATCACAAGATTATTTCTGAACAGGTAAGTACTTAATTTAAAGCTATTTTAGTGCACTCGCGTGTATGATGACACATCCATCCTAATTGAAAAGCACTTTTGTTTTAATTCTTCACAACAAAATGTCTTTTAAAAGCATTGTATTCCCGCTTCAAAGCCTTCGCTGCTTCAACTTTGAACAGTTTTAGCACAGTAATAATTTCTTCTCTGTTCTCAGATTCCCGTGCGATACACAGCCTTTCCATGATGGCAAAGTCGAATTCCTCAATTTTTTCCGCTATATCGATTAAACTATCCACACGTTTGAGACATCCCGAGTGTGACGCACTGTGCACTGTATCTTGAGAAGAGATATATTTGTCGACACGCTCCCAAAAGTGTAAAGTTCTAAGTCCATGCCTCATTTTAGCTTCTTCCATAAAATCCCTAAAGCACTGTCTGCCATTGTTATTATTTAATAAGTTCTCAATGTTATCCGTAAATCGATCTAGATCGGTCTTCGTAAAACCGTAGTTTTTAGCACAATTGCAACAGCAGGCCACAAAACATGTATCCATAATTTCATTTGTCCAGCTCTGTGTCCATCTGAGGTATTAATTGTTTTTCTTAAAACATATGAATGTTTTAAAATTTAAAGGTAATAGATAGATAATTACCTTCATTTACATCTATTTCTTCTTTTACTCAGGACAAAAACTGAACTTAATACACTCCATAATGATTTTGATTTGAAAAATCTAGAGTGAGGTTATCTTCCAAGTTAGCAAAGTCCAAAACCGATTACACCTAAAGCTGTAAATAAACTGCGGTCGTGAGTCGTTCTCGTCAAAGTCGTGATAAAACTTAATATAACAGTGCGCATGCTCAGATTTTAACACATTTCGAAAACTCCCGCCGTCACTACTAATTATTTTGCTTCCCTTTGGGTTTGCGTTTGTGCTGACCAGTAACAGGATTATGAGTATTTTAGTTCAAATTATAATAAAACTTATAAACTTTCGAGAAAACCTGCTTGCTGCGAATTGAAGACAAAGAATAACTAGTTTTAAAAACTCAGCATTACATCACACCGGTAAAAAGTGCCGTGACCTCGAATTTTGTGTATTATTCATGGGAAAATATTACAAAGACAATGGATAAGACTGAGACAGTACAGCTTTTCATTGATTGAGTTCTATAGAATTTGAATTACATAGTAAAATATATAAAACAGTGAACAATGTACAGAGCAAATAAATAAAATAATGTAACTTCATAAATATAAAATTCATTGACTGATGACTTAATGCCCAGACCCAGCCGCTGAACTTATAATATTATTATTAATCATATTATAATTGCAGAAATATTGCACAACAATGGTGAGAATTTGACAGTTATAGAAATTAATATCATTAAATTAATAAGCTTTGAATTCATATTTACTTGACAGCTAGCCGAATGGCTTAATTGATATTCTATTATTCTACTCTCAATATATTTGTAATATTAATTTGTATGAAAATCTTTTATATTGGTAATATTTGCATAATATCATCCCTCACAGAAAGGCCAATAGGGTTGTGGCGTTTAAGAACCCACATTTTTATGATGCGTAAGCCGGAACACACGAGAGGTGGAAAAAAGAATATAGACTATGACACGGGACCTTTTTACCGCCGAAAAATAAAAACGTAAAAATAATTTTTAATGTGTTTAATATGTAACTAATATAATAACCTAGAATTGTTTATGCCGCTGATTGCCGCTACAAGAATAAAATTTTTATTGTTTCAACTGTGGTGTTAATTACATAAAACACGACTTTACGGCGAAATAAAGAAGGGACTCTACATGAACTCCCTCAGGGTGGCTATGTTATTATCTTTAAAAGTAGGTACCTACTCAGTGGTTTCTATAAAAGCCTACTGAGTTTCGATTCCGATCGAGTGTTAGATTCAGCGACGCACTGCTCTTGCTAGGGCAGATTTTAGCAAATTTTATCAGTCTGAACCCCATGAGCTCGCTTACGCATTCGGTTTAAATGGTACAGCCCCTCGAAAGGGTTGCCAGATGACCGTGTCAATTTCCTCGCTACTTTTTTCGAAAACCTCCCGAAAATGAGCTTTTTGAAGAAAAATAACCCCAAAACAGTTTTTACTTATTTTAAAGGAGAAATAAAAACCAAAAGGATTTTTTAATTTTTTAATCAAGCTCTCCCATAACTTCAACCATCTCTAAACAATTATTACAATAATATTCACTTTGGTTACTATTATTTAAAGTATACACGTTTTCGAAGTTAACATGTCCGATGTGGGAACAAAATTTATGCGTCTATTTGGCAGTGAAAATCGTATCCTGAGAACCGCTTCGGCAGTTTCTATTGGCATTCGGTTGCGTAATTTGTCCTTTATAATATTGACTTGTGAATAGTATAGTAGACTATAATTATTCTAATACTAATGGGAATTGTGTTTGTGGATATGTAGGTATACGACAAAGGGAAGATCCTCCACCGAGCGGGTGATATTTGCTCGGTAGACCGACGGTCCGAATGTTGTTGTTCGGAACTTGTATATATGCGCTTTATCTTGAAAATGTCGTAAGCGAGATTCAGGTATCTGTCAATTATCTTGCGTTGTATGATGGCTACCCGCCACAACACTCCCCTCCGAGACCAGAGGTCGTGTCATTTTTTAGTTATCGTTGTCCGTGCTGAGATTAGCTTGCAAGTGCCAGTGCTGCTCGAAGTCTGGGGTGAGTCGAGACTGAGCTTGAATGCTGCGCGTGTATCGTGAGTAGTCCATGTGTGCAGAGCTGTCATGCCGGAGATGTGTGACCCCAAGCGTTGATGATCCGGTCGTGGGCTGCGATGAACTGTAGTGTTGTGATGAGGCAGTGAAGTTGCGTGCCGTAGGACCAAGAAGCGCGGTGAGTCGTCTGCGATGGTCCTGTTGAGGCTGCGATGCTGGCTTGCTGTGGGACGACTGTCGATGACTTGCTTTTATCTGTGAGAATGCGGAAATTGTGGTAGCCGAAGTTCTTGATGCGCTGATGATGACGTGGGAAGGTTGTAATAGTTCCGTCGCAGGTCACCAGTTGTAGGTATACGACAAAGGGAAGACCCTCCACCGAGCGGGTGATATTTGCTCGGTAGACCGACGGTCCGAATGTTGTTGTTCGGAACTTGTATATATGCGCTTTATCTTGAAAATGTCCTAAGCGAGATTCAGGCATCTGCCAACTATCTTGCGTTGTATGATGGCTACCCGCCACAGATAAATTATTGGTACTCAAAAAACCTCCGAAATTTCTCCCAACTAACTTTTTCCCCCCGAATGTCCCCCCAAAGAATCTTTCCCCTCGAATCTCCCACCCAAGGTCGAAAAACCCTCTGGATTTGCAGGGAATCCCCCCCATCTGGCAACTGTGCCCCTCGAGGTTACTAGCAGTAGCAAAATATGGTAAATTGTTACACGACGAGTACATACGTTGTTTTTATTACATTAAATGTAGTCTGTGTGTTTGCACAGGGGAAATCGATACAAAGAAAATTAGAACCCCATTATGTGCTGACTTTTGATCTTACTAGAGCTAGTAGCTAGCAAGCCAACATGTAAATTCAAAATGTCTTTCGGTACGTGTTATGTAGTTGCCTGATCGAATTTTGCTTTAAAATAAATTAATCGACTAAATTAGTTTTAATACAAAATAGTCTTCATAGAATGGATGCAGCTCTGTTGATGATTGCCAACATTCACGATTTTTGACAGTTGAGTCGGCCATTTTGCAGTTTTTACGGTAACTGCTCTACACGTGTTCGGTAGGTTAATTCATTAAAATAATGTTCAAATACAGTGAAAAATAGTAAAGATTAGTTAAAAGTTGTTTAATTTATTTACAGTTTGCCACAATGGCAGTAACAAAGAAACCGGTGGCTAAGAAAGCCCAATTGCACCAGAAGACTGGCAAAAAAGGAGTGAAGGGTGGCAAAATCCGCGGCAAAGGCATCAAGCGGAAGATTAACTTAAAATTTACAATCGACTGCACGCATCCCGCTGAGGATAGTATCTTAGACGTAGGTAACTTCGAGAAATACTTGAAGGAACACGTCAAAGTTGAGGGCAAAACAAATAACCTAAGCAATCACGTTGTCGTCGCCAGGGATAAGACGAAAGTCGCTATCACCGCAGGTTAGTGCAGCTGAACAGTAAAATGGGATGCATACTTACTAATATAAAATCTGTTGTTACCTTGTTGCTATATTTACGTATCGATCATAACCTGATTCGTTGTCATTCCATGTTTATATCATTTTGAGTTTAGATAGATAGATCATTAGAAGCTTAGTGAAAGCTATTGTGTTGATATGAAGATAAAATAATTTAAAGCTTTCAATGTAATGATAGTTCTGGTTACACAGCAATGTATTGTTTTATGAAAATTACTCACAAAATGAATTCTTACGTTGTGAGCTCTCATTACAATAAACTAATGGTATGGGTTTGATTATAACTTTGCTTTTCTGATGCCCATGAGTAACACTGTAGTAAATTTGTAGGCCACAAGGGTGCCATATCAAGTTTTTTATTACTTCATCGCCAAAACTGGACCATTGCAGCCAATTACCCAATGTTAAAGCATAAATATAGCTCATGGAGAAAAAAACCTTAAAGCTTCTGCATTCTTTGATAGTCGATTAAATTTTCCATCGTACAAAATAGAATGTGTTGATTTTATTACAGACATATTTAGGTATACGCATAAGGAGCAGGTAATGAAATAAATCAGAATTCTGATAATATTGATGGATTAGATGTATAAAACTAAACAAACTTCTATTATTTGAGAACAAAATAACCTTATTAATATGAATATAATGGATGTAATTGTTATTATTCTGATTATCTTCCGAGTTGTTACAAGATTGTTCAGTTTGTCTGGTTCACTTGATAGATCTACAAATTGACTCACAATGCTTTAAATGGGTTTTATATTTTACTGGATAAATGGCTTCAAAAATTTATAGACATTTCAATTTAAATATCTTTATATTTATCTGGACATAAGGACCATGTCAAGTGCATAGTATAAAGTGGTAGAAATAGGCAAGATGGTGTTACTCTCTTTGTCTTTTTACCTTGATATTTATTTATAAGCTATTTGTTTCTCATCAAGATCTCAAGTATGTACTAACAATTGTAAATCCTTAAAAAATTCTTAATTTTTTATGCTAGGAACAATATCATAGTATCTTATTGGTAGCCTTATTTGGTTGTCATTGTGTCAGGAGCCCTGGGTTTATTTCCTAGATATTTGTTGGTTTATGTTAACTTTTTCTTATACAGTAGGTAGCGGCTTGGCTTTACCCCTGGCATTGCTGAAATCCATGGGCGGCGGTAACCACTCGCCATCAGATCATCCGTATGCTTGTATGCATACAAGGCCAATAAAAAAAATACAAATGAGAAATCACTCATTAATTATGTACTTCTTAGTCTCAAAAAGCAATGAAGTACCTAGCATTGAATTTAGATACTGTTCAACTTCATTAAATCTAGTTTTAGAACGAAACATGTTATTTTATGGCATTATCTTGTTCTATTGACTTAAAATATGTAAACTGGTAAAACTTTTTCCTTCTAAAAATTTTAACTTTAATCTTTTGTTAAAAATTAGACTTACCGTTTTCAAGTAATGTAGTTAACAAAAAAGGGGCATAATTTTTTTATTTACGATTGCTCCCAAGTTTTCAGTTTAGTCACAAATCTTTATGTAGTTAAAGAAAAGTAAAACAAAAGGCATGATAAACAAAACATCATGATATGAGTAGAGGATTGTAAACAATCTAAATATTTTTATAAACATGTAACTTACTGTAGTGCATATCGACGCTTGAAAGGCAAACGTGACTAAGCGACAATGCGTGAACTTTACAGTAGACTAATTTAAAGTTGAAATACCTGAAAACAAAATTTATTTTAATGAATCTAGCTGGTAGCTGTAGGATTGAAATGATTTTAATAGACCTAGAAATATTTATTTTTGCGCATCGAATATGGTTATTGCCTATCATTTATGTACAAAGCAGTTATTGTCGCTTAGTCACTTTGCCTTTCAAGCGTCGATATGTTTTTTACCAAGGTTTCATTTGTATTTGATTTGTAATTCAGAAAGAATGAAGTATATTGTAATATTCTGGAGAAAGAGGTCTTGGATACCTTTTGCGCCCATGCGATCTACAAACTACCAGTTCATTTATATAACCATATCCGTGCTAACATTCAGACTTGAAAGTATTTATTTTTCTCTGCTCAGTTTCTATTTGCTCTCAAACACTTAAAGAAGGATTAATAGACAATAAAATAAATTAATAATTCTTTGGTTTTTCCAGACATTCCTTTTTCAAAGAGGTACCTGAAGTATTTAACAAAACGTTACCTCAAGAAGAACAATTTGCGTGACTGGCTTCGAGTGGTGGCCTCCGCTCATGACGCTTACGAACTGCGCTACTTCAACATCAACGCTGACAGCGATAACGAAGACAATGAGGATTAAGCTATTCATACAATAAAATAGTTTTACACAATCCAATCTTCTTATTTTACTTTTTTTCCTACCTATTNCCTGAAGTATTTAACAAAACGTTACCTCAAGAAGAACAATTTGCGTGACTGGCTTCGAGTGGTGGCCTCCGCTCATGACGCTTACGAACTGCGCTACTTCAACATCAACGCTGACAGCGATAACGAAGACAATGAGGATTAAGCTATTCATACAATAAAATAGTTTTACACAATCCAATCTTCTTATTTTACTTTTTTTTCCTACCTATTCTAGTGATCTCGAGCGGGTCATACTAGATTCACTGAACCAGTTTTTTTACTAATTGATCCTTGAGTCTAATCAAATGTAATTTTCAGTCTAATCTTGCATTTTTGATTGTCATCATATTAGTTCATAATGTAACGTCGACTTTAAAATATTACTGCTCATTTTTCTAAAAGAAATATTTCTAGACTAGTCATTTCACAAGGATAATATAAAACTCAAGAACGAGAGGAATCAAAAACGAAACTAAAACAGATCTTCTATGAGTCTTGAAAGCTGAGAGAAATAATATTGCTATGCAAATATATTCTGGTAAAAAAAAACCCAAAATGTCTTAATGGTGTTTTATCTTAAAATTCTGTTATAAACCATAAGATTCACTTATTAGGAAAATGTCACTCGTATAATTTTTTGACGGTACTATGGTCAAAATTGTCGTTCGATGTAGTAGTAGAAGTAGTATCTATGGCCCAAACGGCTGGAGCGATTGGGATGCATTTTCAGATCAGTTTGACCTAGTAAGTAATCCTGTGAAGTTTGCTAGGGATCGGATTACAGTCAAAAGATTGGCCAGCAAAGCGGGCAGGTTTTGACTAGGTACTAAATAAAGCCTAGTTATCTATAATTTTTTCATGAAATCAGTCAGTCTTCGACACTAAAGTAGAGATTCAAAAGTAATAAATTATGAAGTAAAACAATATATAATAATAAGTAACGTTTATTTCGCAGTACGGTAATTTATTTACATAAATAAAATCCATTTACGATGATTTTAATAATACATTCATGAAAATATTGCAACTTACACTAAATTCATCTATTTGTACTAATATAATTTAATAAGATTCACCGCTGTGACTAAGTATTGTCTGAGAAATGCGCTAATGTACTATTTGAACTATACGATGACACGCTTGCACTGGTTACATTTAATTCCTTTAAAACGATTACAATACAGCCGCGTAAATACAATTTCACACATTAAGGCAACTCGGAACGCACCCAAACAATACGTTTAAGATTGCAGCTATAATAATTCCTTAATTTTTAGATAGGTCCAATGCAAGCGTTAGTTTTAACACTAATTTATTTAGTTTCACTTTCCGGAAGCGATTTCCTTCATTCTGTTGAGCGCCGAGCCGGCCTTGAACCAGTTGATCTGTTGGTCGTTCAACGAATGGTTGAGCTTGATGCGGTCGGTGCTGCCGTCTTTGTGCTTAATTTCGCAGTCCACTGGCTGTAACAAACAGAGAACACCGACTTTCATTCACATTCTATTCAATGAATTAAGTTTTATTTCATTTTTAAGAACCTACTTTTAAAATCAAATAATTTACTTCAAAACTCCGAAATGTTGCATTCAAAAAGTTCAGTTAAAAACATTGTTTTATTTATTGCTTAGATGGGTGGACGGGCTCACAGCCCACCTCGTGTTAAGTGGTTACTGGAGCCCATAGACATCTACAGCTTAAATGCGCCACCCACCTTGAAATATAAGTTCTAAGATCTCAGTATAGTTACAACGGTAGGACCTCTTGTGAGTCCGCACGGGTAGGTACCACCGCCTCGCCTATTTCTGCCGTGAAGCAGTAATGCGTTTCGGTTTGAAGGGTGGGGCAGCCGTTGTAACTATACTGAGACCTTAGAACTTATATCTCAAGGTAGGTGGGTGGCGCATTTACTTTGTAGATGTCTATGGGCTCCAGTAACCACTTAACACCAGGTGGGCCTTGAGCTCGACCACCCATCAAGGCTATAAAAAAAATTAGCTAGATACAGATGAACATTGAGCATACCTTGCCGGGAGCGAGGCTGTTCAGTCCAAGGAGTGAGATTTTATCGTCAGGCTTGATCTTGTCGTAGTCAGCGGCGTTGGCGAACGTGAGGGGCAGCATGCCTTGTTTCTTCAAGTTGGTCTCGTGGATTCTGTGAGCGTGTTATTATTATTATTCTAATATATTCATTTAAAATCTTATTATTAATATCTTTATTTCAGTAAATAAACAATAACATTTTGGATAGTAAGAAGATATTACTTTTAACTTAGTAACTTAAAAATCTATCAACTATTTGACTAGTTATTACATTTTGTTTCCAAGCGCCTGCTGCAAAGGCTATTAATTAGCAGTCCCTCGATCTTCTTATATATGATATATAATTAATATTAGAGCAGTGTAGCAATGGACATATATTATACTGGATGCTGATTTATAATACCTACTAGAATGTGGTAGTCGATCGTCAAAGGGAATTCCGGTACAAGTGGTAATTTATAATTGTAGGTGGCATATTTTTACAAGTCATTTATAGGTAATGGTATCAAACGTTTTTTTTTTTTGTAATTTTTTTCGGTCTTATCCTTTACGCTACGACGACTTTATATCCTTTTTAGTGAGTCGCGTTTCCGTTCCGATGTTAGATTCTGCGAAGCACTGCTCTTGCTAGAGCTAGTTTGTTCAGATTAGAGTCTCGTGACTCGGCGACGCTGTCATACCCTCTCAAGGATACCAGATTGGGTGGAAAAAAATAATTGCGATGTATTTGTTTAGTGCAGTGGTTCCCAAACTTATTTTGTCTACTGCCCACTTTGAGAATAAATTATTTTTTCTCCTACCTACGCCGAAAGTTCGGTTTTCGTCCCGCTGTACAGGGAAGAAATTCTAACTTTTTCTCCCTGGGTACTGACAAGTGCGCATGCGCGTTAGTGTCTACATCTTCTCTCACGCACCTAAAATTCTCCGCCATTGTTGTGCTCGGGTAATTTGCAATATTGTGTTTAGTGTAAAAGTGAAATAAACAAAAGGCAATAAAATTTAATATAGAAGTATTAAGCAAAGATGAGTTCCTCAGACAATTCTTATTCAATTATTAGTAGTTTATTTAAAAATTAAAAAAGTTAAATTGTATTTTTTATGAGTGGGGGAGCTCTGCCCCCTCCCCCTGCCAGGGCTTCCCCCTGGACCCCGGCTCGGTACTCCACGGGTGCTAAGTTTTTTACAATGTCGAACTTTCGGCTTGGTAGTAGATATTATTTTTTAGCACCCCCATTTTTCCACCTACTTAAAAAATAACTATAGCGAGAGCTCAGTCGGTGTCTAAGAGTCCTCCTAGATGAAATTACAAATCGCCTCCCAAGCCTCTACACAAAACGCCCCCATTTTTTTCTCAGTCTATTCGCGCCCCCCATTAGGCCTGCAGCGCCTACAAGGGGGCGTTATCACCCACTTTGAGAAGGGCTGGTCTAGTGTGAGCGCACCTGGCGAACGACTTGACGATGATGGCGCGTCCGCCGAGGTGTCGCGGTTCGAGCGCGGCATGCTCGCGGGACGAGCCCTCGCCGTAGTTCTCGTCGCCGACGACGCACCAGCGCACGCCGGCCGCCTTGTACGCGCGCGCCGTGGCGGGCACCGGCCCGTACTCGCCCGTCACCTGGTTGCGGACCTTGTTCAGCTCGCCGTTCTCTGCGTTCGTTGCGCTGTTAACAAAACAACGTTGTAGAGAGAGAGTATTATTGTACACCAACAAAAGAAACAATGCGCAACATTAAATTCAAAGAAAAGGACAATTGGCGGTCTTATCGTTAAAAGCGATCTCTTCCAGACAACCATCAGGTGGAAAAAAATCGTTTGGAAACTAATTACACACGGTGTACCAATCAATTGAAATTACTCAAGTTTTAAGGTCGGCGATAGCTTTAACGTCTTAATGTCTATGGATTAAATAAACCAGGCTAGTCGCAAAATGAACCCAATACTAACGTAATAAACATGTTATTGGAGATGTTGTCGAGATGGCCTCTGTACTTCAGCCAGGGTCCAGCCGCCGAGATGTGGTCGGTGGTGCACTTCCCCTTCACCTTGATCAGGATCGTGAGGTCGGTGAGGTCTTTGCCGTCCCACTTGTCGAACGGCTCGAGGAGTTGAAGGCGGTCGGATGTCGGTGAGACGTCAACTTTCACTTCTGTCGAGTTTCAAGAGATAATGGTATCATAGATCAGTCGTAGTTAGTATATGAGGTTAGTATACGTTGCGTGGGTAGGCCTCCCACAAGATGGAGTAAGGACCTATTGAGGTTCGCGGGGATCTGCTAAGTGCAGGCAACGCAGTACCGATCTTTGTGGCGAGGCTTGGGGAAGGCCTATGTCCAGCAGTGGACGTTTGTGGGCTGATAGAATAGAATACAAAAACTGGGGAAGGGTAGCCCTCTTGTATCGGGGACAAGTTGGAAGTATCCACATGTTAGTGGCAAATAACAAGTCGAGAACCCATCAAAACAGGCAGCATAACCACGCAAATGCAGAAATGCAAGTAAATGCAGTGTGTCGAATTTAAAAATTAAAATGTAATAGCTTTGGGGCGCTATCTTTGAAATTACGCTTTGGTGATACCAAATTACTAATTACCTAGCACTTTGATATAGAATTTTAAAGATAATAAAATGGGCTTTTTTTATTGCTCAGGTCAAAGGCCTCTTTGTAAATTTAACCTAGAAGTTGTCAGGCTTTATTGATTTCGAAGAGTGATGACTGGAGCGGTAACAATCCCGGGTATAAGACGGATATTTTTGAGAGAGGAATTTATATGCAGAATGCCAACGGATGTCTGACCCTGGTATAGGTTCAAGGGTCCCCATCAATGCCCATCACGCTCACCTCCATTCTCCGCATTCCTCTCCCTACCCAACCAAGTTTGATAGGAACCTAAGAGTCTACCTTGGATGTTCGTTCAAGTTTAGAATTTTTAGAGAAGTTCTTGTTCAGCCAAGGTCGTTTTGTAGGTTTTTTTTTATTGAAGGATCATTGATAGCCTGGAGGCCCTTCCAATTTCACTAGGACAGGTGGGCGAGCAAAGGCTCAGCCAGGAGGGGTGGGATTTGCTAACAGCTACCCGAGTGCCCCCAAGGGAAACCTAACAACTCAAGAGTAGCTGCTTCGCGAATGAATCTACTACCGGATCGGAATCGCGACCCGCGGAGAAGATCCGGCGAGAAACTCAGAGAGCTGATATTTAGGTTAGATTGCACGTCGAACTCTTTGCCGACTTCGACAGGTACGGTTACCGTGGTCCCTAAGTCTGTTTCTAGTATTAGAGCTGAAGGCGTCTAATACAAAGGCCAGGTTATAGTGATTTTGTTCGTATATATACCTCTCGCTCCCACATCTTACACTAACATCATCACGGAACAGTTGAGACAATCGAAAGACCGTGAAGAGTGACGTTCTTCGCTTCAAACGAATAGATTTGCTTTTATCCCACTTATCTTACACCCCCCCCCCCTGGCGAGACAGAGACAGCAACACATCCTGCCCTTTTTATCCAACTTAATTATATAGTCAGACAGAGACGGCAACACATACTGGATCCGTCGGCGGGCGGGTGCTCGTACGTGTCCTGTCCGGGGTCGAAGCCCTTGGAGGGGAGCTCGTCGGCAAACGGATCTGACAACTTGAACTTCTTTCCATCAGCGCCAGTCAGCTCGTCCTTCAGCGGGTTGAAGTCAAGCCGGCCTGGAGGAAACAAATACATAAGTTTAATGATACGTCATCGAAGTCATCATTGAAGTCGTCGTGGCCTAAAAGATAAGACGTCCGGTGCATTCGTATGTAGCGATGCACCGGTGTTCGAATCCCAGGCGGGTACCAATTTTTCTAATGAAATACGTACTCAAGTAGTTTGAAGTCGTTATGGCCTAACAGATAAGACGTCCGGTGAATTCGTATCTAGTGATGCAACGGTGTTCGAATCCTGCCGGCGTGTACCGATTTTTCTAATGAAATACGTACTCAACAAATGTTCACGATTGACTTCCACGGTGAAGGAATAACATCGTGTAATAAAAATCAAACCCGCAAAATTATAATTTGCGTAATTACTGGTGGTAGGACCTCTTGTGAGCCCGCGCGGTGAAGCAGTAATACGTTTCGGTTTGAAGGGTGAGGCAGCCGTTGTAATTATACTGAAACTTTAGAACTTATATCTCAAGGTGTGTGGCGCATTTACGTTGTAGATGTCTATGGGCTCCAGTAACCACTTAACATCAGGTGGGCAGTGAGCTCGTCCACGCATCTAAGCAATAAAAAAAATCATACAACATAATGAGCAACATTCTTAAAAAAAAGTTAATACTCGACGCTGGCAACATTGACATTGTTAGGATCCGATTGCCATATTTAAAAAAAAAAGATTTCGTATCAGAGTGAGCAGCCTACCGGCGATGGACAGCGCCGTGACGAGCTCGGGGCTGGTGACGAAGCAGTGCGTGGCGGGGTTGGCGTCGTTCCTGCCGGTGAAGTTGCGGTTGTATGACGTCACGATCGTGTTCTTCTCCCCCTTCTTCACGTCCTTGCGGTCCCACTGGCCGATGCACGGGCCGCACGCGTTCGCCAGCACCTGGGAATAAACGCTCAATTACAGTATTCAGAATCATTAAAAATCTTCGACGGTACTCGCCAGTGCTTTTGTTCGGATGAGTCCGGTCGGATGAGGTCAGACCTGCGCTTGATGCTCCGCTATTAACTTGTGTATTAATAATAATAATATAATAATAAATAGCTCTTTCATTAAAGATAAGATGGTGGTTTATTTATTTATTTTTTTATTGCTTAGATTGGTGGACGAGCTCACAGCCCACCTGGTGTTAAGTGGTTACTGGAGCCCATAGATATCTACAACGTAAATGTGCCACCCACCTTGAGATATAAGTTGTAAGATCTCAGTATAGTTACAACGGCTGCCCCACCCTTCAAACCGACACGCATTACTGCTTCACGGCAGAAATAGGCAGGGTGGTGGTACCTACCCGCGCGGACTCACAAGAGGTCTACCACCAGAAAATATTATACGTCGACGAAACTATACATTCATAGGTCATTATTACTATTGCGATTTAATAACAAACTCGGTAGTTTTAGGTACTTCAAGCACTTGATCGTCCACTGAGTTACTCGCTGGATCTTCTCAGTGGATCACGTTTCTGATCCGATGCTAGATTCAGCGGAACACTGCTCTTGCTAGGGCTAGTGTTAGCAATACTCCCAAGTTTAAGCCGTGAGCACACCTAAAGGTCCGAGAATAGATGGAATAGCCCGTTAAATGTTGGCCAATTAGAAGTTTCCACGTATTTATTATTATAAGCATCGATATATTTATGTACATAGAAATATTTAAGAGAAACAAGAAAAGATAAGTTGAGTATGTAAATTATCAAAAAAGAATAATATTTTTTAAACTTAAATATTACATGAAGCAAACTTATAAGGCTTCCAAGTTTAGAGATAAAAAGACAAACAGAACATTAACTTTATTACTATTAGGTATGAGGTGTTCTTCAATTCGCGGGAGTCGTAATCAAAATTAGTATTTTACTTTTTCATTACAAAAATAGGTGAACGAATTCACGACCCGTCTGTTGTAAAGCCGTTACCGGAGCCCATGGACACCTACAACAGAAATGCCTTCACCCACCTTGAGACATGATTTCTAAGGTCTCAGTTTTTACAGTACAACCCTACCCATCAAACAGATGCGTATTACTGTTTCACGGCAGAAATAGGCAGAGTGGTGGTACCTACCCGTGCGGACTCACAAGTCGTCCTACCACCGTTACTGTTTTCGTGGTCACGGATGACCAGTGAGTCGAAATGCATTGAATACATTTGTTTGCGTTAACACTCACGGTGCCTCCGAAGTCCCTGAGGGTCTTGGCGATGCCGTCCCTCTCGATGGTGGCGCGGACCTGCTCCGACCCGGGGGTCACGTTGAACGGAATCTTAGACTTCAGGCCGTGACTGATCGCCTGAATGAAAACAACGGTAGAACATATTAAATTCAATGCAAATATAAGGTATCAAAGTAATTAAGGTATCATTCCGAACGTTTTATTTACAGTTTGTCCGTAAATTATAGAATTCAAAACTCATTTAAATGAGTAAATTTATTTGTCTATTTAATTATTCAGCAATTTTCAATATTTGATGTCATTAAAGCCAACACGCTGTAGTTGGGACAATACAGGCTGTTATTTTTCAAGGAGAACAATAGCAGAGGAGTTTGTTTAGGAAATTTCATTTTTAAGCCTTTGACTGCCATGTAGGTCACCGGTGCCCTATGCGGCGCCTGGATTGCCTAACTTCACCTTTAATTATTTTTAATGTATGTTCTAGACCTCTTACAAATAAATTTATTCTCAGTATATTCGGATTGGTCTTTCGTAGAGTCTAACAGATATTCCGGCGCCTAAATAACAACAATCATCATAATTACGTCAGTGCGCCACACAGGGAACTAGCGACCTACGTGGCAACCAAAGGTTTAAATCTATTGATGTAAAATCAGTTCTCGTTGAAGTAAGTTCCATTATTGACTGACTGATTGTAATTGAGGTTTGCAAAACGAACTAGTTGTATCATTGAAAAAATTAAGTTATGATATAATGTTTTACCTCTTTGACGATGCTGGCACATCTGCCCATGTCTTCGTAGGAGGAGTTGGTGCAGGACCCGATGAGGCCGACGCGGATGTCCACCGGCCAGTCGTTCTTCTTGGCCGCTTCGCCGAGCTTCGAGATAGGGTTGGCGAGGTCCGGAGTGAAGGGCCCGTTCACGTGGGGCTCCAGGGTGGACAGGTCGATCTCGATCAACTGATTTACAAGATATACAATTGTTTAAACTCTCCTATCCAATGCTACTTACTGTTCGGAACTTGTACTTATCGACGCTTGAAAGGTAAACCTGACTAAGCGACAATAACTGCTTTATACATAAATGATAGGCAATAACCATATTCGATGCGCAAAAATATATATATATTTCTAGACCTATTAAAATCATTTCAATCCTACAGCTAGATTCGTTAAAATAGATTTTTTTTCAGGTATTTCAATTTTAAATTAGTCTACTGTAAGTTCGCGCATTGTCGCTTAGTCACGTTGCCTTTCAAGCGTCGATATGCATACATACTCAGACATCAGGAATGTAACCGAAGTGCACATAGGAATTTATTACTATTAAATAATCACTGATCGTAACTCAATAATTTACATGAACTATAAAAATGAAGACTGAACTAATTAAATGACAATCGTGAACGATAACGGTCACATAGGGCAGTACCTACTATCTGTCGCGGACAGAGTTCCGTGCACCCACCGCAATAGGGACAGTACTAATCGTCAAAGACAACATTCCACATCCAATACTGTGCAGTACTGACTGTCGAAAGGCAGTGGTCCGTACACCAAGACGCATCCGCTCTAACGCGTGCAGTATGCTTAGTGAGAGTTTTTTAACGTTCTCGATAGCGTAAAAGTTAGCTCATATTTGTATGGAACGGGATCGTTTGCCTACGTTTGTCGCTAGGGGCGCTGTTCCAACTGCATACTAAATTGGGTTAACCTTTACAAAACTCGTACTAAGGACATTGGTCATTGTTCCATTTGCGTCCTTTACAGAGTAGAACTTTATCCTTGGAATATGATCAGTATAATCTTTTTATTTATTTCCTGCTTAGGCGATGAACAGGTTCACGGCTCATTTAGTGTTTTAAGCAGTTAATGAGGTCTATGTGTCAATTGTATCCTAACAACAATTTTTTTTTAATCAGCTTAAATTTTTATTGCATATTGTTATACCTTTACCTTGGAAGTCATTCGTAAGCATGAGTTAAGTATTTCATTACAAAAAATTATACCTATCTGCGGGATTCGAACACTGACACTGTTGTATCGCTCGATGCGATTACACCGGAACACTTATCTTATAGGGCAGGAGGAGTTCGCTGTACCTGATCATAGGGTGCCTTGTTGTCGGGCGTGAGCAGGTGCTTGTAGGAGTTGGCGGTGGCGGCGATGTCTTTGCGCCCGGTCGACTTAAGGTAAGCTTCCATGCGGGAGTTGTACGGGAACACCTGTTGTTTATCGATCGTAAATACAGTCGTGTGAAATGACATTTGTTTTGATTGATTTTTTTTCCTACCCAAGCTGATAGCCTTGAGAGGCTATTTCAGCGTAACCTTAACCAGTAGGTGAGCTCGCGGGGCTCGAACCGGAGTGTTGCTAACACTGGCCCTAGCAAGAGCAATGCTTCGCAGAATCTACCACCGGATCTGAAACGCGACCCACTGAGAAGATTCAGCTAGAAACTCAGTGGGCTGTGTCTGTGGGTTAATTTACTCGTCGAGCCTTCGTCGCAAGCAACGGGTTCGACGAGAACGATGACCGGTGCTTGAGGTACCTAAAAGCACCGTTACTGGATCCAGAGGTAGAGCTTTTAAAAGTCCAATGTTTATAAGCAATCAAAATTATACAAATTTATTTTTACATATTTCATAACATTTTTTTTATATGGTTCTATATTCCCTCACAATAATCAATTATAATATATCGATAGCTGCCATAGCACCACGAAATTAATTGATTGCTTATAAACATTGGACTTTTAAACGCTAATCCTTTGGATCCAGTAACGGTGCTTTTAGGTACCTCAAGCACCGGTCATCGTTCTCGTCGAACCCGTCGTTTGCGACGAGGGTCTCGGCGAGTAAATTAACCCACAGACACAGTTCACTGAATTTTCGCTGGATCTTCTCAGTGGGTCGCGTTTCCAATCCGGTGGTAGATTCTGCGAAGCACTGCTCTTGCTAGGGTTAGTGTAAGCAACGTCGTCAGGTTTGAGCCCCGTGATCTCAACTACTTGTTAGGTTACGCTGTCATAGCCTCTCAAGTCAAATTCTGAATGAGTTATTCAAGTTATTCAAGTTTAAGTCTTACGCTAGTGGTAGCACCGATCTCAGCGCCCATGTTGCAGATTGTCGCCATTCCCGTACACGAGATGTGGTCAACGCCGGGCCCGTGGTACTCCACGATGGCGCCGGTACCTCCCTTCACAGTCAGGATGCCGGCCACCTTCAAGATCACATCTTTCGGACTCGTCCAGCCGGTGAGTTTACCTGACAAACGAAGAATGTTTTTGTTTACAGTGAGAACGTAACGTAAAATACTTGCTGGTTTTATTTGTAAGTGATTGGGTCATTTTCCTTGAAAAATCATTTCAATCTAACAAAAACAACAAATCTCTTCTGAAGCTTTTAATGGTATTAAACAAAACAAACACTTTTTTTATTTTGAGTGCATTTCTTTCTTTAACATAATTGATGACGGGCGATATCAAATTTTTTACATATAAAATTTATTACATTTTTTTAAAGTACTTTTACGACAAGAATTCGAATATTATACAGATTATCGTTGCCTTCGCATAGGAAAAATTCCCAGCGTGTCTTGCGAACCGGCTTTGAGGTCCTGTGATTCCTATTACGCAATAAAACTGCGACTTTTGAGACAAGATTTCTAGTCGGATGGTATTCATCTTCTAATATCAATGAGTTCTGATAATCGCTCATTAGCGAGTGGTCCGTGAGCTCATTAATCCATTTATCTAAATTATTTAATACAGTGTAATTCATTGTAGGTACGTGTGCATTTAAGATAATACTTATCATACAGTTTATGAGCTGCAGTAACAAACAAAATGGACCGACAAATTAAATGTAATTTTGTGTCTATAAAACAACAATGTCATCTATAGCATTAGCCGTAGTTATGTTGAATAGCGATAAATCATTGTTCATTTTTGGAAAAACGTAAAATAGCATCGGAAGATATCTATATATTAATACGTGAAGCAAAAACTTTGTATCCTTTTTTAAGAAAATTGCGCGGACGGAGGAGTATGAAATTTTCCACACTTATAGAGAATATAGAGAAGAAGTGCACAATGATATATTTTTTTTTTAAATAATGCATAAAATATACATTAAATCAATATAGAAAACATTACACAAACTACCATGTATTTGACATAACACATATGTATATGTATATAAATATACTCTTTGTTTATTGTCAATTGTCAAACTTTTGTTCGTGTTTAAGGTCTGTCTGTGTGTTATGTATAGTGTAGTTTTGGCGAAATCTGTGATTATATTTTATAAGTACAATAGTATTTGACAATAGAACCATAATAATGTTTTAACATAAAATTTCAATTGATTAAAGTCGAATTTCGACTTCTGCGGGACCACCAGTTTAGTTATAATTATCTATTATCAGATAGAAACTCAAAGAATTCAAATATATCACAGGATTTTATCAGCGCTATGTTGATCTTAAGAGATAAAACGCTTACGCAAATGCAAAATTATTTGTTTTTCTTGAAAACTCCGTGTGAGGTGACCTTCTAGAGAACGTTGATACATACTCTTACTGGCGGTAGTAAAGCGTATTGTAAGTTTGCACAGATACGTACCAAAATCTTGTCTATATATGGCGTCAAGAAAAAACCTTCGTACTATGAAATCGAGAATGTCTTATAGTGGGTTACGGTATTCACGTGGCGTTCTCTATGGGTCATCATATAACCACTTTATACCATTTATTTATCTACACAATAAAACATTTATAGAACGTCTAACATGCGCTAGATCTGCTTATTTGCTAATACATTTGAGTCGTCTATTATCAAAGGTGGCAATCTGTACATTTGGACAAAAAATTTTTATTGATATGTCAATACAGATTTATTTGAATATAATCGTCTCCTTCAAAGAATACGGTTCAAAACCTGCATTAAATAAAGGTTAATAGTTAACCTGTTATTTATCTAAGATGTCGTTCCGAAGAGTTTTGTGACTGCCAATGGAATACAAAGTCAATAATTCGTTTTTCTGATTTACCAATCATTGTCCAAAAGTCAGATTGCCGCCTTTGATAATAGTCGACTCATTTGTCAATGCTTTTTAGGACCTCTTGTGAGTCCGCGCGGGTAGGTACCACCGCCCTGCCTATTTCTGCAGTGAAGCAGTAATGCGTTTCGGTTTGAAGGGTGGGGCAGCCGCTGTAACTATACTGAGATCTTAGAACTTATATCTCAAGGTGGGTGGCGCATTTACGTTGTAGATAACCACTTAACACCAGGTGGGCTGTGAGATCGTCCACCCATCTAAGCAATAAAAAAATATGCTCAGAATATGAAAGCGTGTAATAAAAGTAAAACAACGGTTCGATTAACGAATTCGGATGCTACAATTGAAATTGGATGGTTAAATTTCAACACCTTTCCGATGACCAAAATAGCTTTGGATCACACTGTTTTGTGACGTCATTAGCCAGTGAACACTTCGATTGGTTGGTCGACGTTTGTATTCAAAATCTTTACGTCACAGAAAACGAGTGACTTAAAAAAAAAACCTATGCATATTATTATTGCATTGAATTTCATTGCTGATATCAATGAAAAACATTGAATTACAAAAATATGTACAACCCTATTGTATTAAATCAGAGAATAATTTAACAGAAAAAAAAACATTAACATATTATTATTATGTTTACGCAAGAAACATTTCATTAAAATTCTCATTAGTGATTATTTTCTAAATAATAGTATATATCTAACTAGTTATTATTAATCATTAAAACATCATTCCATAACACATCAGACCAAAGTACATCGATGTCAGTGCAAATTACTTCACACGTGTATCTGCCAATTCCGTGTTGGCAATATTGGCATTATTTTATTTGTATATCTGAACATTTTAATTGTTATCAAGGCAGATGATAATAAAGAAATAAAATTAGTTGTCAGCCTTAAGAAATGCAAGCATGTTTTGACCTTATCTTCTTAGTGTGTGGGTAAGAAGCTATTCTTATGTACTAGATTACAAGTAGGAAACGTCTTTCAATGAGGACTGATCGGCATGTTATTGCAAAGTAATAATATATTATATTATTTTAATTTTTATCTTATGTAATGTTATAATAAAACATAATACTTTTTTTAGCAAATAAATACAACACATTTTTATTAAATAGTATAATTAGCTTCCCTCATACTTTTCTAATGATTGTTTTGGAAAATATTCTTACGTAACAAAATGGAGGGGAGCCCGAAGAATCTCATGGGATGCAGGGACAGCGGCAAAAGCCCGAATCGTCCTTGCCTAATATACTAATGGCCCTTTCTACCTTCGTAAATTAGGATAAGCATTTCCTTCGGTTTCCGCGAGTCGTAGGCATAATCTATGATGTGAAACGAAACTCTAGACAAGTCTAGAATTTTGTTTTTTTTTAAATAGGCTGTGTTGTTAGCACAATATTCAAATGTGTTGACATTTTAACAGTTAACGAATAACAGTTTAGTCATTAGTGACCACGAAAACTATAAAACTGTAAAATTATTCGAAACGTCAAAAATAATATGAGTACAATAAAAAGTTTAAAGTAGTTTTAATTATTCTAAAATAGGTTAAATCTATGTCTCCCAGCGGACAGTCGTATCTACTGACGTTACGTTGTTTATCAGCTTCGGAAAACACTAGGAAGGTTACTGCAGTCAGTCTCATAGATTATGACCCTGAAACTAGTTAATGCTTTTTCCTTTGAATACAGACGAGGTCGAGAATGAAACGCAATTCTATCAACGTCGTTTAGATGAATATTGATTGACCCATCTAAGGAAAAGCGTATTCTTTGAACCTTATTGAAGAAGTTGTTTTGTTTAAACAAGGTAATATAAATGTTAATGTAGGATTGGTAAGAACGGAACGTATGACAGAGCGTGGAGCGGAGCGTTAAGATGGCAAGAAAGGGAATTGAGAATGACAGAGAAAAGGAAGATGGCGAGGACGGTTAAAAAAATGAGCTAGGCGTAAAAGAGTGAATTAATTTTTAATTATTACTAGCTGACCCGGCAGACTTCGTAGTGCCTCAATCGAAAAATAAAAGACCTAAACTTTTGTACAAAATAAACTTAATTCAAACAAAAGGAATCCGTCCGACGGGGGACACATCAAAGGAAAAACAAAATTGTTATTTTCATTTAATTCCGAGCATTTTCATATTTATCTACCTTTTAAACCTTCTCTCAACTTCCACAAATAATTCAAGACCAAAATTAGCCAAATCGGTCCAGCCGTTCTCGAGTTTTAGCGAGATTAACAAATAGTAATTCCTTTTTATATATATAGATTATAACAGAAGATTTTGGAACAGTGGAAGTTTTATTTTATGCGCTGCGATCCCTATTCTACAAATCTACATTAATGCAAACGGTAAAGCATTCTAGAAGTCGTCGTGGCCTAAAGGATAAGACACCCGGTGCATTCGTATCTAGCGATGCAACGGGTTCGAATCTCGCAGGCAAGTATAATTTTTTTCGAATGAAATACGTACTCAACAAACGTTTACGATTTACTTCCACGGTGACGGAGTAGCATCGTGTAATAAAAATAAAACCCGCATAATTATAATTTGCGTAATTACTGGTGGTAGGACGTATTGTGAGTTCGCACGGGTAGGTTCCACCACCTTGCCTATTGCTACTAATACGTTCCGGTTTGGAAGATAAGACAGCCGTTGTACTGTAAAACTGAGGCCTTAGAACTCATATCTCAAGGCCGGTGACGGCATTTACGTTGTAGACGTCTATGGGATCCGGTAACCACTTAACACCAAGTGGGCTCAGAGCTTGTTTAACTATCTAAGCAATAAATAAAAACATATTCGAAATTTATTTTTGATATTTGATTTGCGTATATCACAGTATCGTTCGTATCTCAATTATATTTATAACTTTTTTTTATCACGATCGTTTGGTATCAGAGGCATTACGAACATAAACACGCATTAATAAAAATAAATAAAATTACACACACGAGTCACGAGTGACAAAACGGAGACTTTTCCGAAACGCAATTTCTAAGCGGCGTAATAAGAAGTACTCATAGTCTATATAGATAAGCGACTGTAGTTTTTGCACGGGTGTAATGTATTTTTGGATTCGATTGTATTTTTATCTTATAAGTGTACTGTAACGATATACAAAGATCAACCAAAAAAAAAAGCAATGAATGATTTTGTTTACTCTGTAAGTCGATATGGTGTTCTG